TTTTTATATACTTAAACATTTGGTACATGTACATAACCAAAATGTTTATGTATAAAACACATTCTATGGTTATGTACATGTACCAAATGTTTAAGTATATAAAAACACATTCTATATTTGCTATTCGATTTAGTGAAATGTGGGCTTAAGAGCTTGGAGAATACATAACAATTTCATGAAATTTTAGTTATTTTGACTTCTACTTGTTTGAGACATTTAGAAAAAGTTTCTTTGATGGACTGTGAAAATCTTGCAATCAGTTATGACAGATGTTCTTTTATAATGATTGGTAAAAATACTTGTTTTTAATATCTGTGTTTAATAATAGTTCAATTAACATGCATTTGTGTTCATACACACACAAACACGTGTAAGCATTACAACAACACAGTTGTTTAATTTTAATAGGGAAATATTAACTGGAAATTGATCAGCCTTTGGCTAAATAGGGTTCTGAAAGAGACAAAAATCAACACCCCTAGACTATTGAAAAACAGCTATTTTTATTCTGATGATTTTACAGAATTTATATAATTTATATTGTTTCACAATGTTTAAAAAACAAAACAAGCAATAACTAAGATGAAAATACACTGATACTTTTGATGTTAACCTTCAAATAGTAAAGAAATACTTGGGAGAAATATTCATGAATATATGATAGTGATAAATTTTGAAAGGTATCTTATCATATGAATAAAGCTCCAGATTTTGAAACTAGAAATTAAAAACTGGAAAAATAAATACAATTTTTCAAATACAAAGATATATTCATTGTTTCACTATATCTAGAAAAGATATTAACATAATTATTATTATTTTTCAGCTGTAGGGAAACTTAATTTGTTTGTTTTGTTGGATTTTGTACAAACCTACATACATGTTGTCCATGCATATCCAACCCTACTTTTCCAGTGATAAACTAGAGAGAATGTAGCTAGTCAACACCACTCATTGTCAACTCTCCGGCTACTCTTGTTGAAATGAATGGTGGAATTTGACTGTAATCTTTATAAGATACCACAGTAACAAAGTATGTTTTGTCTGTTTGAAGTAACGTGATCCAAGCCCTCGGAACTTTGGCTCCACGACCTGGCATACTAACCACTGGGCCTCGAAACATGAAAGGGCAACTGTTACCTCCAACCACGATTACTTGTGGCCATAAAGTAGCCAAATGATTGGAGCTATTTAAGGCTGGACCTGGTAGAATCAAATGCTTCTTAGTATATAAAATGAAAATGAACATAATAAGTTATAATAAGATAGTGATCAGTTATGTTTGAAATTCATCCCTCCTCCAGAAGAAACTGTAAGTTTGTAAATTTTCAATTTTTATAAAACTGACTACCCCATGGTTTTCCTGGCTTGATTGAACACAATATCGAACTTATTAAAAAATTTTTATTTTTGTATAGAATGTAGTTTGTATTATCCATTACGTAATACTATAAAAACATATTAGTGTTTTAAGACATTAAAATAAATGAAACATTTTTAATTTTTTCTCCTTTAACTTCTCTTTGCACCATTTATTTTTCAGAGTGATCAGTTCAATGTAAAGAGCCTGAAAGCACTTCATTCAGATTTGAACATTCCAATTCCCGAACCTCCATATTCAAACCATGAAGTAGAAGAGGTAGGAAACTAAGCTTTTATTTAGCTATTTACGAAATAGCTGAAAACTGTTTTGCATTAGTTTCAAACGAGATTGCTTCACATGTTAACAGTATATATATCTTTAAACACCTACCAGGTATTAGTAACATAAATTATTTTCATATCTTAGCATTTACGTTATTAGACCAAATATTAATGAGAAAAAGGGTTAAAATGCTATTGGTTGTTGACTTAATTAAAGTGTGCTCTAGTTGTTTGCGTTTTATTTTAATGTTTATTGCATTTCTATTTAATCATACACAAACTTTTAATAAAACGAAAAATTAACATGCAGTACACTAAAGCATGCCTGCACATATCCTGCTTAATTAAACCAGATATTTGGCTGTGAAGTTAAGAGCTGTTTTTGAGAATTTGCACATAATCACTATCAGTGAGTTGACCTATTAAAACAATACATTTGAACTTTGAACTTTTATTTTGATGGTGAAAACTAAAACTCAATACTACAAGTTCGAGAGACAATTGAAAAATGATTAAAAGGAAATTACATATACTGATTCTTTTAGCTACAAAAACAAAAGGTGGTTTTTAACTTACTACTTTGTTTTTGTTTAATGAACACTCCCGAGAGATAAACAAGTTTTGTTATCTTTGTTGGGGTCTTATGAAGTAATGTATGTTATGTTTGTTGTTTGTGGTATTTATAACATTGTTAAGAGAGTTCGTGCTTTTCTTGTAGTGACAACTCAAGTTCGCTTTATTTTATTTTCATTATTATTATTACAGTTCCCATCAAAAAAAGAAAAATTAACCTTCGTATTGTATAATAGACCACGTGTGGTAGGGTAGGTTTTTCTTTTTGTTATTTTTAATTTGTACTACGGTTTTCGTTTA